TCTTTTTAATTTTGGTGGGAGGTATTAAGAAAGATAGGAGAAATGTAAAACTGTGGTCTAACAGGACAATTAACTCAAATATGTGGGGCTATTTTTTTAAATTAACGATGCGGTTATTGCACGATATATTGTAGAACAACTCAGTTTGTGGTCGAACTTAGTCTGGTCATGTTCGAATTGATTTTAAAATTACCACACAATTTTAAGAACATGTAAAAACCGTTCAGCTTCAGCACCAAAATTAGACCGGTTCTTATGAAAAAGAGTGTATTTCAGTCTCATGAATAAGGGAGTAAGTTTCTAAAGAAAGTGTGGTGTTGCGTCGGTTGGGGAGTGTAAAAAGGTAATCTTAGTTTTATCAACTGAGTTGATAATGCAAATTGGCCACCGCAAAGAGTTTCAAAACTGACGTTTCGAGCGTTAGCCCTTCCTCAGAGCGAATGGCGAAAGGCTGACGCCAGAAACTTCAGCTTTAAAACTCTGTACGGTGGCCAATTTAGGATATCAGCTCAGTTAATAAAAACCAAAATAACCTTACACGCCACGAGTATTACTAGTGTAATACTCGTGGCGTGGTTTACTGGCCAAGACATCGCGTCAAATAGGTTATCAATAATTAGGCAACGTAGCCCTTTCTAAGTGTTTTGTCGCGACACCTGACTACTGAGCTGGGTTTCCTAGCTCTGCATGACCACGAAACAAACCATTTGATTACGTCACGCAAGAGTACTTACATATCTGACATTGTTAATGATCTGCACGTTACTTCCAAGGCGCTCTTGAGCAGCACCACTTAGGAAAGGCGCGTATGGCAGTGGTTTGTCACAATCGGGAGTAAACATTTTGCAGTAAGAAAGAACTCTGAACACATCTGGGGCTACTATGAGCTGCTGTAGAGATCCCTGAAAAGGAAAAAAAAAAACTCTCAAAATTAGAATAAACCAAAGGTAATCATGCTTTTCGCGCTCGATGATTGGCTAGTTCGAAGGTGATTATCAAGCACTATTCACCTCCAAGCAGCCGAAGAGACAAAAGCGAGAGTCAAGAGTTTAATTTGCGACCATTTTTCGGTTTATTGACGGAAATAAACTAATCATTTGTTTCTGTGTGGTATATGATAAAACTTATATTTCTCTTAGTGTCAAAGTGTTGGACATTTACCGAACCGCGAATCACCTTCACTTCGCATAAACAAGCTAAGTTTTTACTTACTGCGCATACTCAACAAAACATATCGCTCCTGATTGGTAAAAATAAAAAATTAAAAAATTGCTCGTGCGTTCTAGGATTTGTGATTATTCGAGATGTTCTGAAAGGTTTTCAAACTGCACTCGACTGCTTCTCTCTGCAGATGGGTAAACTTTCCAAACTTTACTAGTACAGCTCAAAAAATGCTCTGCCGTTCGAGAAATCCCCTATGCCGAACCGATGTCCATGTCAGGCTTAGCTATACTTACCTGAAATTGCTCCTCTAGTCGAACAACACTGTCTTGCCCAAAACTCGGTCTAAATCCCCTGGGCCTTCTTACATGTCCTATAGGCTCGGCACAATCTAAAGACAGCGTCACGTGCTTCTTCCTGACTGCTATGGCCACTCTGTGCCACGCCCCATCAGCTAAGGTTTGGTTCAATCTCACTCGAAATGGAGCCTTCCCTCGTCGCCTGTATTCAAACTCCAAAGGGTTCAAATTGAAAGATAGACTTTGCTCGGTGTCCATTATCGTGAACAAGTCTGCTGTGTTGTCAGGATCCACTATTACAGTGGCGAATAAAACAAATTCTTCGGGGAAACCATTGCGAAAAAGCGATTCCACCGTGGTGTTTATCGTAGCACTCGTGGACGATAGGTCGTACGCAATATCCTCAACCTCTTGGTCGCTTGAAGAAGGGAGGGGTCGGCTTGGACAAAGACCGACCGTTTCGATCTCGAGCTCGCTCAAACTCCATTGAAACTCCTGCACAAAATCCGCCAAGTCAGCAGTATCTGAAATTTTAAGAAAGCAGTAAAGAGTATTCAACAAAGCTTTGAAAAGGAATCCCTTCTTTACGTTTTTTTATTGATAGTAATGTCATCCCATTGCCTTGCAGTAAAACAATAACCCCACTCTTAAGAGTCTTAAATGTAGTAACAATGGATGGACAAAGGAAACTGCAACATTCGGAATCAGTATAGTCGAACCTATACAGTAAAGTAACACTCAACGTAAAATCTACCAAATCGCTCAAATTCGCCATTTAGAACCACAGAAACGACAATACACAGCAAGTGAGGTAGATTTACATTTATTTTGAGCCTTAACACAGACATTCCTTGATATAAGTTTACGATCTTACGACTCTTCAATATTCTCCCATACATTTCTTTATACTTCGAACAAACGACCAGACACACCGCTTGTGTGGGCCCCCTGTGGTTTCACAGGTGGGGCCGGGGATATTGTAAAAAACGATAAACAGTGCCACTTTATGCCATAATTGACCACTTCATGCACAGAATCTTGCTCAAAAATATTACTTAGTTTGATTTAGGGAGAGAAACAAGGATTATAAATTACTTGAAAGATTATTCTTAGTTTTATTTGCATCGTTCCGCTCTCGGTGATCGTTCAAAGCAGGTGGAGGATAATAAGAAGAGGCCGTCGGGACTTGGCAAACAGGTGACCGCGTAATAGAAGTGAAAATTACAGTGGTTAAAGGAGAAACAAATTCGGGACTTTGACAACTGATCGCTTAATACGGTGCCGCTTAAGTGCGCAGATGAAAATTTTTTTCTCTGGATTGATATTTGCGCAATACAAATCAATAAATATTATTATTATTATTAGTATTATTATTATTATTATTAAAACAGGCTCCATTGTATTTGCTTTTTGCCGCTTTGATTGGAGTGCGTGCAGTTGAATGAAACTGGTGTAGCTCCTTCGTAATTTTTTGTCGGCTTGTTTGCTTGGAAGTTTGATTTATTTTAGAATCTCTCTTTGCAGCATCTTCAGATTCACGCCACGGTACAGTCACACTTTGTGTTACGCGTGACGGAAATAGAGGTCGCACAGTGGTGACATATGGAATGATGTCGCAAATCCGCATGTTGAGATTTTCTTCTGAATATTTTCCGAAGAGACTCGAAAGGTTAATTCTGATGAAGTACGTGGAAATGTTTCTTACAGTAACTATAATTATTTTCCGCGCCATTTTGATTCACATGGATTTCATCTCTAAGCTTCTAGACTAAATTGCCATTTCTGATCTCTAAAAGAACAAACGTCCTACACGGCTCGATACGCGACATGAATAGAACGCGCAATCGTCCACAAAAATTTCGCGATTTTGGTCACGAAGCTAATGAAAATGCTACTATAAATGTTTGTATACACTCATTACCACTAATAGCAATTAAAAACATCACAAAATGAAAACAAAAAACAATCATAGAATATTAAGTCTGTAACAATGTAACTATCCCCTTTCGCAGGGTTTATTTTTCTCATCAAAATGAGAACTATTCAAAAAAAGATTGCTAATACGGCATCACTGGCACAAACAAATTTACACGAGCTAATGTTAAGTATAATAAGACGAATAGATCAAAGAAAAATTCTGGGACATCTTAGTTATGTGGTTCGGCTTCCCTTGCGCGTATCGTCTAACAGCAAGTCGGGCCTTCAATTCTAACAATGATTGACTGTCTCTCAGCCTGCGCGATCGAGTTTCGTTTCTCGTACATAGTAAATTGAAGCACAATCCTTGGATGAATTGAGATCTTTGTCATCAACAACATTTAAACTCTAACTAGAAAGGCCTTATAATGCAATTCAGTTCTGGAAATTAGTTCCAATTGTTACATATACATCAGGCATAAGAGTTTTCACAGACAATGCACCATTGTTGAGGATAAATTAGTCCTTTAGGACCTTCATCAAAGAAGCAGTATTTGTTCACCCCACTCCAGATCAAAGTGAATTGTGCGCTCCAAGGTGAAACAAGCTTCTATATTTCTGAAAGTCGTGAAATTAAACTAAAATATTTGGAACATCTTGTTTCGTTAGGAGCGTTTGTTTACAACGACGGATTTCTGACACATCATTTGATGAGCGGAGACCAGAGAACATTCAGCAAGTCTTAAAACGACCCATCACTTGTACTGAGAAACTATAAGATTTTAAAGCGAGAAGGAGATATTCGCGTACTTTCCTTCTGTCGCTCTTAGGGAGTGCAGAAAGAAAGAGTTGTTATTATAACCTATCCCCACTCACGCGATCTTGAAACAAACCAGATAGAAAACGTGAAAATACTGTTGGATATTTTTCGACAAAATTTATTGGTACTTTGAAGAAGATAAATAATTATGAGCATGCCTAGTTTATTCAGAGAGCAAATCGAAGTAGGCAACAAGAGATTCACAAAATGTAGAGACAGTCCTGCTTTGTATTAAGCAACATAAAGTACTCATTTTGAAATTCACCACTGTAATTGCATTACCCGCAAGCTGACTGCTCGAAAACTATTAATTGTACATTTCTGTCTCATGAATTGGCACAATCCTTACCTACAGTTCGTATATAGAGGTCATTAGACTGTTTACCTAGGTGAGAATAACCTGGGTAGGAATGAAAATTAGCTTTAACATACCCGGGTAAATGGCAGCGTCTCGGGACGAAACTCCATGATTCATGAGGACGCAAAGTATGATAGCCGCGCTGAGGCCCTGCAAACTGAAACACACACCACATAACTTAATGACAGAGCGAGACGATTTGCAATAGAAAAATTAAAGATTCAAACGCTTAACTAACCAGGGAAACATGGCTGGCGTCTGTTTCGGCCCTGTGTGGAGACCGCCAATGCTGCAATTTTATCCGCGGTGCAAGGCGAGTTCAACAGGGACCTTTAGTACAGTGGTTATGTAGGGTCCATTGTTGGAACAAGGCCTGGCCGCTGATTGGCTCGTTCAGACGCGGGTACTTTTACATATGATCGAAGTGCAGTCAAGAATTAACGTGACCAGAAAGAAAGAATGAGAAATGGTGTATTACAGCCACTTCCGCACGGAAAAAAAGCTTTTCTACAACACATAGGAGGCATAAAGCCCCTCAAGGTGATCACGGTTGAGAGACAACTGGCATTTGAAATGTTGTGCACTGTCACTAGAAACCAAAATGCGATCAGACCAGACGAGATGCTGTACACCGTATTCCGAGATTAGTTTTGTCGCCCACGCCCCTGTTATTTGCAGTTTGCCTCAGAGCTGCTTTTCGCCCTCATTAAAAGAACGCTTGATCGCAATTTGACAGGATTCTACGGGTAACTGAAACGTCCGATACAACCGTTGAGAGCTAACGGAACCGTCTAAGGCAAATAGAATATTTTAAAATGAGACGAAGTCGTAAATGATAGGGCAAATCCGTCGGGGGCTGGATGGAAGCGTTCCAAAACAGAGGGAACCCTGTGTGATGAGAAGGAACTGCTAAAAATCAGACAATACGCGATGCAAGACTGAGGTGTCAAAAATCCTAAAGAGTGCGTCTTTCTTGACCGTCCCAAGACGGAGCTGGTCGGAAATGACGGATTCCGTTAAAAGCACACGAAAAAATGCAGTCAAGTGTATTCTAAATTCAGAAGGAACCGCCTGAAAACAGACTAAAAAAGTTCGTAAACCGACTTGATCTTGACCGTTCGGAATTATATGGATCGAAGCAGGTCAACCACGGTCTAACCAACATTCGATTGTCAGATGAGAATCTACATCTGGAGCACAATCCAGATTTTATTCTCAGTAGTATCTAATGTGACGGTAGTCTCCCTCGCAGCCGTTTTTAGTCTCGTCACGCAACGCTCCTCCCCACAAACGGCTGCTCACATTCGAACGACATTCCTTTCCCTTTGTTGTCTTTGCACCAATTAGATCACTGACATAATTTCGTATGTGACCAATCAGAGCAGAAGAGATTGTAATCAATATCGTTTTTCCCGCGTTTTCAAATTCTGCATTTGATCGTAGTTTCTTGATGGAGGAAACGCTGAAGAAGGTTTTGCAACAGTGATCGTTGCTTTATTTGTTTCTCTTCAGTTGAGAAAAAAGAAAAAAATTAATGTTTTTGGAAAAAGTTCTTTTGATTTTCCGGCGATTATCAGTTCCTGTCTGGATGTGAATGTGAGCTGCTATTCAGCGACCAGCGAGTTGTCAGTTTGTAAAGCTTGCTACCGACGATTGATCAAGTTCAAGAAGGCCTCGCTCTGATCATCTTGAAGGGCTCAAAGATGAATTGAAGGGAATCTTCCAGGATCGCGAACTTCCCAGAACGAAGCGCTTAGTGAACTTTGAGAGCGACGGTGGAGAAATCCAAGCTTCGTGTCGTGGGAAATCCTCGAAATGTTTACAGTTCGATCGGATCAAATCAATACATACATACGTACAAACATACATACACTTTATTGAGCATCCCTAAAAAGGGCTTTTCAGCATCAATATTAAAAATAGTAAAACTAAATAAATAACTCAATGAGTATATACTTTCATATTACTTATATATTACTTAATTACTATATGCAAACAACAATTATCATCAAAAATCGTTCATGTTACAAATCAGTTCATTAATTAATTAATACCACTTGTACTTTTAATGCTACAGCTCATTCTAGTATTTCTATCGCGATCAGCCAACAGGTACGTTATACTCCGGCAAGATTTCCTATTGGTTCTATTGGTGTGTCTCCTATTCGAAGTCATCCATACGGACTTGTGCTTAAAGCTTTCCCTTGTTGTCAACTGACAGTAAGGCCCCCGTGTGAAAGCTTTGAACTCAAAGATGAAACAAACAATATGATTGGTTAGATTACTTTGGCGCGCAGAGTTCTCGACATTTGTAACCCAAATGGTGATTGGTTGAAGTAGCGGAAAGGAATGTTGTTCGAATCTGAGCAGCAGTTTGTGAGGAGGAGCGTTGCGTGACGACTAAAAACGGCTGCGAGGGAGACTAATGTGACGGCTAATGTCCCCTTCTCAGTTGTTGTTTGATCTAATCACGTAACGCGCTCTCTCCTCCTTTGGTTGGTGGGGAAGAAAGTGCATTGCGTGACGAGACCAAACAACGGCTATGAGACCATGCGCGGAACAAGTCAGAACCCTAAATGAGTAGGACTTTCCGAAATCGGCAAACACTGTTCAAAGACAAAACTGTTTGTAAATGTACGGAACCATTCGAAAGTCGCACAAAATCGACCAAAACCGTCTAAAGTCGTCTAGACTTTCTTTACCAGTCTTTCTCAGCCGTATGTTTTCGCGCCAAAAAGAACAAAAAGTGAAACCTAAGTTAGCAACGCAAAATGGCCGGCAAGAAGAAGCGTAAGCGTCAGACTGAACCAAAAAAGAAAGATTCCAAACAGAACACAAACACAGATCGTGCTTCATTTGAAGATAAGAAACCTAAATTAGACGATAAGCAGAATAAATGGTCAAATGAGCCTTTAAAACAGTTGATTTCAGGAACGAAAGTTAAAAGCGAAAACAACGTATCAGAAGGGTCGAGTGCACAGACGTTGGAAGCCGAAGAGTGCAAATACATCCCGCCCTTCACTCGGAAGACTAAGATAATCTTGAGAAGAGATAGAGGCTCCGTTTCTCCTGGTGTGGGCACGGGGCAAATTAACCGACCTTGGAAGGGTAGAGAACGGAATGCTGTGAAGAACCAACCAAGCCCGCGGAATAAAAACACTAACGAAGAAGTGTCTTGTACGAACGACTCGCCCAAGGTGTGTTTCCAATGGCAGTGTCAGTTACCAGTGACGTTATAATTATTTTAGCTTCTTTTTTTTTTCGGCTAATGGCTAAGTTGTCATGGTCTTTCAAAGTCCAATATTTATGTATTATCCGTTTGCGTCTGTTTCATGGGAAACCAAACTATATTTTTTAGCTGTTGATTTAGGCTGTTTTTTAGTGAGATCCCTGTATACCTGATAGCTGAATTTTCTCTTTAAATGTCTTTCAGTAGCACGAAAGTTTCTGAAGTGATTATGACTTCTACGAACACTCCGGGGTCCTTGGAATTTCAAAATCGGTTATGTATAAAATTTTCATAAGTACGTTTTGAACATTGAATAAAACTGCATGGTTTTTAGAGCACTTTCCTCCCTTAATCAACCTCGATCTTAAGACTTAGAGGCCTATACCTTAAACTGGATGTTGCACTTTAATATTAATGCTCATGGGATTATTTTCCCAGCAGGGAAAAGAAGAAAAAGAGTTGGAGGAAGAAGTGGAGATAGATGTTGTAGGAATGAATGGAGTGGTGATGTTGGATCAGGCGAAGAAAGACTTCCCTTTAGCCATTACTAGTTGGGCAGTACCTGCAGATGTAGAAGGCAACAATTCACTTATAGTGAGTGGACCTCTTTCATCTTGTTCTTCCAGTACCATGCAAGGAGATATTTCAGCCATTGTTATGCAGGTCATAGATGACCTCTGTGAAACCGTTATTAGATATGGAAACCAGTGTAATGACAAAGCCTTGGAGGAGCAGCTGACCAATGCTGGTTCTCAGACACTACTTGCAGAGGATAATGAAGCAGTGGCCCTAACAACAACAGCAGTGGAAGGGCAAGAGCATTGTGGGCATGCTATGACAACTACAGTGATAGCAGAGGAAGAAACAGCAGCAACAATTCATATGCATAAGGACAAGATTTGTGCAGCTCCAGTCAAGCGAGTTGCTTCAAAACATGCCACTGAAGAGTGTCATGAGGGTGTGGAAGAAAGTCGTGTACCAACCTTGCAATCTTTTTGTCTTAGGTTGGAAAATGAACTAAGGATGAGACAGTACGGGGAATATGATCACAAAAAATGTAATTATCATGGTGTAGTCAGCAGTAAAAGTATAAATGAAGATGAACTGAAACATCTAGGAGTAAATGACTTGATAGTTAGCAGGCCAGTGGTGCAGAAAGAAATTTTGTTTGGACAAGAAAGCTCATCAGGAAATGTAGGTATCCAAGCTGTAAATACATCAGTACCATTAATGGATACTCAGTTCATCTCTGCACAATCTCTAAAAGACTTCATTCAACTTGATGGGGAAGCAGAACAGAGACATGAGAGTGATGATGGACAATCCTCCAAAACAGATGATATATCAACTGAAAATAGAGATCTGGCAGTGACAGAGCAAAAGGTGAATATGGAAAAACAGAAGGTTGTGGACAAATTATCCTTTGGGAACCATTCTGATGTATGTGGAGCTTATGACCAGGGGCAGCCCATCACTGAGCAAGGTCTTGACCAGATGGTCCCAAATGATTATGAAAACAGCACTGTGATATCAGTAAGTTTTTTACCTCTTGTTTTATATTCCTTTCCAATAGAATATAACACCCACCATTTTTCTACCCTACATCACAAAGTCAAAATCACAACACAGTAATTAATGATAATGGATTGTGCAAATTTTGTTGAACAGGTTACTGCAGTTTCCGATTTTTAGAGGTTGCATGACTTAATTAAAAAGCCACAACCAGTCTCTCCATTCGCTCCGACGAAGGGCTAATGCTCGAAACGTCAGCTTTTGTAATCGTTACAGTGGCCAATTTACCATTTCAACTTTGTTGATATATCCAAATTATTTCGTTACTCCCACCGACGCAGCCCCAATCAGTTTCTTTAGAAACTATCAGCCTTTATTCATTAGTCTCAGTAGGCACAGGTGCTATTTAAGATGTCATTTCTTATGTATGAAACTCACTGCCTCCCTTTTAGAATGAAATTCCAGAAGCAACAGAATCCACAAGAATGTCAACAATGAAGGAGATAACTGTGGTCTTTGACAAAAACATTAAACATGTAACAGTTGTCCAAACAGGGCCCACCAATACTGGAAATGGTTCTAATCTGGAGTTGTCTCAGTCCCTTTGCACTGCTCAGGAATCAGAACTTGCTAAAGAGGAAAACATAACAGAGGACCAAACCGTGACTGGTACCAAGCCTACTGGTGTAATTGAGCATGAAGAGTTGATACTAGAAACTGAAGGAGAAGAATCTCATGACATGATACAAAGCAAAAGTATAGAGAATCCAACCAGGAAGCTGGAAGGAAGGTTCTCCTTTTTTGGTTCTGATACCGACTTTTTGGAATTTGATAGCATAATGGACTGCACAGACTCTCAGCTGGTTCATGTAGATGATTGCTTTGATGAAGAGCAGCTGCCCTTAAGGCCTTTGAAACATGACCCAAGGTAACTGGTCAGAGTGAAGTTATGCTATTTGCAATTATTTCTTTGTTTTTTACTTGGGAGATTTACCCACCTTTCCACGGTAGGGCATAATTTTGAAATTCTTGATCAAGATTAAGGGTGGGAATGGGGGAGAAATGAGACTAAATCATCAGACTTGATCAGAAACGAAATATAACAGAAAGATGAGAGAATTTGGATATGAAGGAATTTAGAGTCCTTCACCCTAATAACCTCCCTTTTTGCAAAATTATTCTCCATGCATTTGATATACTATTTAATTAACATATTTGTTTTCATTATTTTGGTCAGTAATGTATATAGTGAGGTTGGAGGTGACAGAGTTGAAGGCGATGTGGAGGTTCCGTCTGACAGAGGAATGATCAAGGGATTGATCAGTGAGCTGTCAACATTGAAGTATGATATTGATGTACCTTATACAGGACTCAACACTAACAGTAGCCAACTAGCCATGGACCAGTAGAAATTCAGTTTTGGCCAGTGGTTTTTTATTTCCATTAGCAAGTTTGGCTAGTAAACAAACTGAAATTGTTGTAACATCTAAGTTGTCACTAGCCAGTTGGCTAGTAAGTTGAAAAGTTAGTGTCGAGCACTGCTGATGTACATGCCAACACTCTTCACCTGTCATACTGACATTTTATTGTGGGCTAAAACTGTTTGTGTGTTATTTCTCTGAATAAGGTTGTTATTAATAAGTGTCACTCAAAATCTACTTTTATCACAGTGATCAAAAGGTGTTACTCGCCAGTAATAGGTAGCCTGTAAGGAGAATCTTTGTAGCACTCCAGGCGCCAGTTGTTCAAAGAGCAGATAATGCTATCCAACGGATAAATCGCTATCCAGCGGATAAGTGTTACCAAAACGTACTGCACTATACACCGGATAGAGATTTATCCAGTGTATAGCGTTATTCATCCTTCGAACAACCGGGGCCTGAAGAAAAAAAATACTTGATTTGTGGTTATTATGTGCCTCCTCAATTAAAGTATAACTTGAGGGTTTACTGGAAATTTGCTTTTCATTTCAGCAAATTTATGATTGGAGCATGGAAAGATTTGGAGAGCCAGAGGAAAAAGAGGCAAGCAAGACTGAAATTAGGGAAGGCAAAAAAGTTTAAATAAGATTTGATATAATATCCTCATGTTTAAAGTATTATTCGCGTGTTTGGTGTTTTACTCCTTGCAACATAAGAGAGCATTCCTGCAAGAAATTGAAATTGTAACTCAGTTTATGTTCTATTGTGATCAACTGTTTCGACTACTGTCGGCTTGGGTTGAAGCAGTTCAAATTTCCAAACAGAACACTTCACCCATTAATTTGGGCTACAGGACAAACATTTAGAGGATACTTCAGTAAGTTCATTTAATAAAAGATTTTTGAGATTAATTAGCAGTGAGCACCTGGGCATGTATCTGCTGTTTGTTGTCACAGAGTATCACTAGCAGCAGAAGACCACACTTGCTGGTGAAATGTCCTTGAGAACAATGATAGTGGCCCCTCATGCTTTTTCAACCATTTCAACCTGGTTTGATACAGGTTTGAAATTATCAACTAAAGATGATTTTTCCTGTTAGAATAAAAAACAAACAAACAAACACAACCACCCTGGTATGGTGATTCCCAAGAAAGCTTGGCCTCAATGCATACAAAGATGATTCTCATGTTTGTTAATACCATGATATAATTTAAGCTTTTTGAAGTTGAGTTTCTTTGGATAGTGCTTAATTTACATTAATTATTTGTGAAATTTAGGGAACTTCTCCCTTTTTGATGACATTACAGTAGACAACTTCAATTAAGTATCGAGAGAATGTCTTTTTACCTTTTTTCTTATAATTTTTAAGGTTAAGGGTGACAAAAAATTGAGTTTAAAAAAAAATAAAGCATTTAACAAGATTACAGTGTGTTGAATTTATTGCAACAGCCAACAATTTAATAATCATTTCCTATGTACATTCTAATTAAAACATAACATACACTGTAGTTCTCTCTTCATATGATGGATTTCAAGACAGTTCCAATGATGATGTGATACTAGAAAGGTCATTTAAATTCTACACATTTTTATTAAAATGTAATATTGATTCTCTGTGATGTCATATGAAACAAAAACCTGAAATAGTATTTTTTTATAACTTCTTCCAAATGAAGTTTTCTCCTTTATAACACAGAGTAAAAGACAGTCTGTTTGCTCTGACTCACTCTGAGATATCCTGTATGACATTTAGCAGATAGGTAAAAGGTAGTTGCAAATTGTTCCTATATGTTGTGTGTCAGTTAACACAACTGGGGGTGAGCCAGTGTAGCAGTAAAGAACCACCAACACTAGGGATACAGGGAGTGACATCTAAATGTTTGTAGAGTGAGAAAAACATTTCTCAAACTGAGAAGGAATTTTTCTGTGGGCTATTTTTTTTTCTGCATTTTGATTTTTCTCCCTGTATGGCCTAATTCCTATTAGTAAGACAGTTCAAGACAAAGGAAAAATAATACAAACTTTCTATTACAACATTAAAGAATAAGAGTACATAGGACTGGTGAAGTAAAGCTGATCAATCAATTAAATCACTTCCAACTGAATGTACATGAAAAAGGAACGCATGTCTGATTGGCTGAAAATGAGTGCATTTTCATGTGACATGTTTTGACTTTCTGTGATGCTTTTTTCATGTAAATTATTAACAAGTAACAACATGATTTCTTGTGCAATTTGGTGTAATTAAACAGCCAGAAAGGAGAATCACTTAGACTAGATGGGGCAAAAGGTTACCATGGAGACAGTTTGGTATTGCAATGAACAGGAACCAGTATAATACTGAGATTAGTTTGATGGCATTACATTGGTAAAATGTTCTGACCATTAGAATGCAATTTACTAGTACTGGTGTTAAATAGAGTTAAATGAAAAACAAGAAGAGCACAATTCATGGGATAGAGCAATATGTAAAATTTTGTATGTTTTACCGAGCTAACTGCTATTTCATAGAAATAGTTAGCAGGTTTAATTCCACTGGTAATTATAATATAGTTATATTATTTTTACATTTTATGTCATGAAACAAGTCTCTAATAATTTCTCAAAACCACCAGAATCGAACATAGATTAATAGCACAACAAAAATTGTTCCTACAGCAGCATATTTGGCATAGGCAGAGCGAAGATTTAGGTATGTTGCATCTTTCTTGTATTTTTCTGACTGGAACCGTAAATTTCCTGCCTTGTCATCCAGCACTTAAAAAAGAAGAGGAGAATTTATTTGAATATGGTGTTAATCAATGAAAAAGCCAACCAAAACTGAAGTTCCCAAAATTAGAGAGAATAAAAATTTTCTAAAACTAGTAAAACTGTACAAAGACAACAGTTGTGGGACCCTCATTATGGTCAGCTCAATACAGGTTTAGTACATTGCATCTCAGGGACTGCCCAACACTGTAGAAAGTAATGAATGAAAGCGATCGTCATTACTGTGAGGATTGCTTTCATACAATTCTTTAAAAAAAAAATGCAGTGCGTATATATGATTTTCATATATTCAAATTAATTGATTCCCCATGTCGTGGGTTTAATACAAATCAACATCCATGATGACCAGCTCTCAATTGGCTTGTTAGCTCAATTGGTAGAGCACTACACTGCTATTGCAGAGGTCATGGGTTTAAATCCTGTACGGGCCAAATTTTTTTCAAGCCTTATTTTCACTACTACTTTAGTAGTGTTCATTGCTGCAAGGATCACTTCCATACATTTCTTTAAAAAAAACCACAGCGCATGTATATGAGTTACATATTTTCAAATTCACTGTGGTGTAAGGATGGATCCTCAACAAATGCTTCATGCTTCCTACAGTACAGGTAAATATACACACTGCTACATAATGTTAATGAAATCTCACTAAAAAGAAGGTCATTTCAGATACACCATTAAATAAATAAATAATAAATAAATTTTAATTAGTTGTATAGCCCTATTTACATGTACAGATCAATAGTGCTTTTTAATTAAATAATTTAATGTGTGCCCTCAAAAGTGAAAGGTGATCATTAACCTGAAAGTTGTTCCCCTCTTTGAAGAACATCATCAATATTTTGAACCATGATTCGCTGTACATCTTGGAGTTCATCATTTAATCTGTTTAGATTTCTTCTTGTTCTTGAATCTTGATAGTTTTTTCTTGCCTTTTGAATAAATGTATCTGAAGTGATATTGACACAATTAGGTTCAGTGATCATGACTTAACTTATTTTAACATTAAAACTGAAAATCAAGAAGAACATGTTGACTTTACCACTCTTCTTTCATTGGCTCTTTTAGTTTTTCAATGGATAAGGAAATAGGATACTGTTAAGTTGTGGAAGAGGTGTGGGCAACACATTAAGAAAGGTTTCATCATACTAGAGGCTTAGAATAAATACTGCATGTCCAGCCACAATGTGAAAAACTGTACATAACAAGGCTCACCAAACTCAATGAAGGAGTAGGGTCTGGTTGCTGTGGCTACTTTGGAACCAAATTCCCTGTGAAACTCAGAAGATAGTTCTTCAAGAAAACTAAATGCTGCTCTCTTTGAGAAAGTCTTTTCTGTTAGTGTCAAGAAACACACCCCATTTTCCATAATGTAACTGTAAATGAAAGAAACACAACCACTCTTAATTGTTTCACTTTGAGTAGCTAAGGACGACATTATTGCATGACTGCAAGGCTGTGGTCCAGCAGCGCCTGGTGACCCCTGGCGCCTTACTTTTGCCCTTGGGCAACTCAGGAATTTTAGTTTTCTCATACAAAGCATATGTAGGGCACCCTGGATTTCACAGTTTCAGAGTACTGGGCTCCATTCAATTTTCCCTAGAGCACAGCCTTGGACTGGCTTTGCATTCTACAGCTTCCACAATCAACTAGGCCTAATCAGTATAAGAGTCCTTCTAAAAACTCAACCATAAGTAGACAATGAATATGGGCTGAAATATCTACAGGGGTTTCAATTAGGGCCAGGCACCAGGCATGTTAACCTTCTGTGAAAATGACTTGATTGATGTATTTATTCATGATTCAGTTATCTAAGTAAATGATAACCTTTTGGCACTGGAGCTTGATAGTTTCTAGTCCAAAATGTGGGAAAATGCTTCTTTGTAATTGAATAATTTTAAAATTGTCCAGGGGGTACACCTGCCGACTGGCTATGGGGGAGGTGAGGCTCTCTGAATGGTAAGGCAAGTGTGCCTGGAGGCTAAATCTAGATGCCCCCCCCTTCCTACTCCAAACCTTAATATAACCCCTGTATTCAACAGGGAGAGGGGTAGTATTTGCATGATACAGAATAATAATAGTTCATGATATAAGGGCTGAATCGTCCTAAGAGAGTGAACCACACGATGATGATGATGGTGATGATGAGAGTCAAGATGACGATTGATCGACTGTACACAGCATCCACCAATAATGGTAAAAAGGTGCCACTTTCAATACTCACTGAAACATCATTGGCCCAGTTTCAATACTACTTCTTGCTGGCGAGTGATCTGTGAGCTTTCTGAACAGCAACTTAGCCTGTGCTTGGTAGTCCTTGGTATTCTATGACAACATAATTTTAATCATGTAAAAATGTTAATTGGTCATTATATTTGGAAACCCCACTGAGAGTGATAAGCAAAGTTTCAGAATCTCTATGCATGAGTTTACACATACCCTGAACACAAAGGTTACTTCACAATCCTTCACCAAACATCATCACTACCCTGCCCACTTCCCTTCTCCCCCCCCCCCCAAAAAAAAAAAAATAAATAAATAAAATTCCCAAACCAGAATAGATCTTTGTGCTTCCCCTTTGTTTAGTACTCATCTTCCCAGGTGTCCATCCATTGGTTAGGTATTGATGATACATTTTTTTGATACAAGGGTAAAATACCAAACAGGATCACATTTACAAGGTAACTTCTAACACATAAATAGAGCCAAATAGTTCACGGGTTTGCATTAGGTGCTCATTTAGGTTGTTAGTGCTCTACAAGCCTACGATCAAGCTCCAACTTTTAACTCCACATAGCCATGAACGTTGCTTAGCAGGAAAAATCAGCAAAAGTATTTAGCAGAATTTTGGAATAAAAGGAACCGACAGTGGAGATAGGGAAAGTAACTGTACGTGTAGTCTGGCTTATGACTAAAGTTCAATTCTGGTTTACATACGTCTTGGTCGCTTTGCATCGAGGCTGCGAGGGGTAAGCCGTCTATAACACGGCCTATCATTGTCATCAAAACCATCCTGATAGATTGATTCGCACTGTCTGGAGGAGCTACGTTGGAAATATATCAATTTGCTAGCACAATTCTGCAATTTATACTCTATTTTTCTTGGGTACACGTGGATTGCGCTTGCGTATTACGCTACTTCGAGTGACCGCTGGGCTTATTGCCGTCGTGCTTTCAAAGATGGACGTTCTCCTCGTCAGTCTGATTTTTGTAAATGTAGGTTGTTTATCGGTGACGTTGTTGTACATAATGAGAAGTTATATACCTTTTTGGTTGTCTGATCTGTTTGAATGGGGAAAGACGAAGTCAAATTGGAATCAGAGCAGCTGGAATCGATTTCTTCTCGTCCCGAACAGGTGATGGTCATCGATAATTTGTCGGTATGTGATGGTCACCTGATACTCTCAAATTAGTAATTACTGCGGCAACGTCATCATTGATGATCCTAATCTGAGGATGTGTCAACTACGATTATATGAATCCTAGAATTTTGGTTACTGATGTAAAGATTCTCACGGATGGAATTGGCTGTGATAATCGGTGTTGAAGGAGTTGGGGAAGGGCTGGTTAGGGAACAGAGAGCCAGGGTTAGTGGTGAGGGGGGGCAGGGCTTTCTTCAGAATTCTGGGTGTGGTGTGCCAATCGGTTCTCCAAGACCTTATGTGAGATCAAAACAGTCCATTTGTGATATCCATTTACAGTAATTTCTTCTATTCATTCTGTATTAAAAACAAGTCAAACAGTACTTTAATTTACATCAGTACCAATTAGTATACTGAATACGTACATCCGTAACGTTTACACAGAAGATCAGCTTGACTGGTGTAATTTGGTTACATCTCTTTCTCTGTGATTGATATGTAAATTAAAGGACAGATTTAATATGCTTCTATCCTGTCAGAGTTTCCTTGAAAACCAAACGATAGTAAAAAAGAAGGTTCGGGGGTATTAAGACCAAAATGGCCCAAGAAAATGTACTCATTTATTTCAAATTTTTCTTGAAATGATTTCAAACTTTTCAATGTTAATGCAGTCAAAAGATGTTTTACTTGGGCTGAATTGTTGCATCATTTTTTTTCAGCTGGTTCACTCATTTCTACATTGCAGGAAGTTCTTTGTCATGTGCACTACTATGGATGTTGATAGATCATTGTTTTTACAACAGGAGTCCAATCATGGAATATCTTGCGCAAATACTGGACTTACATTACACTCCACACATAAGTTGTTTTACAGTTCTGGTATCTCTGCTTCTTCTTTTGGTGCAGTGTTGTCGCAGACTGTTTGAATGTTTGTTTATCAGTGTATTTACAGGCAAGATTCACTTGTCACACTATTTGGTGGGATTATTTTACTATGTTTTGGATGCAACTGCACTTGCAGTACCACTTCTTGGAGAAGAAAAAATAGACAAAGGTAAATATGTACTGCTTTATTTCTATGAAATCTTTCATAGGGAACTTGTCTGGATGAACCAGATCTTTTGCATTGATCAGCTACCATGCAATAATCACATCACTGGCCTTTCACAGTCACTCAGGATTTAACCCTTACAGGCTTTTGACTTTGTGAAAAGTTCCTCATTAACTGAGGTTTCACCTCTGTAGGCAGGTTAGGCAGTCATTCTTATTTTAAAAAAAGAAATGAAAAGAAGTGCAGACTTTGTTTCTCTTTGAACAACAACATTGATTTTCATGTTTCCTTAGGAAATAGAATGCACATTTCTCTAAGTATGTATTAGGTTGAACAATTTCTGATTCTTTTTAATTGTGTGGTTTATCTTTTCAAGATTGGTGTACCTTATGCAAACAACTGCCATCAGGTTTGGAAAATTTCAGCTGCATCCAGTGTCTAGGATTGGTTATATTTCTATGGGCAAGCTGGCATCAGTGGAACTGTCACGTCATACTGGCAAAGTTACGGCACTCTGCAAGTGGGAAAAAAGTCAAGGAGTACAGAATTCCTTATGGTGACTGGTTTGATCATGTTTCCAGTCCTCACTACTTGGCAGAAATCATAGTCTACATTGCTTTCTTCTTGATACAAAAGGGCCAAAACATTTATGTGGGAATGATTTTGCTATTTACTGTACAGAACCTTTCACTTGGAGCTACAGTGACACATAATTGGTACAAAAACAAATTTAAGGAGTATCCCCAAAATCGTAACAAGATATTTCCATTTGTCTACTAGGGGGCTTTACAGAGTGGCCAATCTTTGTGTGACTGATCCCTGTATCACACAATGAGATAATAGTAAACAATTCTTAGGGATTTGTTCTGAAATCACCAGGGTGATTCTTGAAATCTGAAGTGAGTTACGAACTCATTTATATATTTTTTGCTTTGTATCACAAATTTTTCCTGACATCTCAGAATGGATCACAACCAAAACTTTTCTCTCTGGTACTGACCAAACTACTGTATTTATGCAATAATTTTGAGCTACTTCAAAATAGATGTAGTTAAGTGTCCATCAAACTCTTTACCTTGTAATTATGGTTGGAAATCATACTATCTAGTTTTTCCAAAATAAAACATACCTGGCATAGTTGGTTTATCCTTTGAAGTCACATATGATTTCAGATCAAATTGCACTGCACTCAAGTTTAATACCATTGGTGACTGAGTGTGATTTGGTCTGGAAATGCTCACACTGCATGTGATTTTCTTTACTAGGATATGTCAGATGATAGAGGTAGAACGAGGGCAAATAGAATTTGAGAATGAGTTGAATAAAAATAGGAGAATTTATGTTCTGTACAAGACTTTTGTAATTTATGAAATAAATCATATTTGACTCGTTGATCATAGATTATCTGCCAATTATCTTATTAACATGGAAGATTTCCAGTTGTTGATTTGACTGATTATGTCACTAATCCCAACAATGGTGGGTTTGTTTCTTTTCAATAACAACATCTTTATTTATACTCACAATTTAACTTATAAATGAAGAGTACCTGCAAAATAGCGAAGCTAATCGAGGCAGGTAGTATCAGAAACATGTCAATTACATATTAATATAAATATTATTCTAATAACAAAGGTACAGATGTCAATTACGAAAGTGAATACAAAATATAGATATACTAATTACGAAGCCACAAGCACATAATTAAAAACAGGAAAAGCTCAAAATACTCTTTATTTTAACCAAATCTAGTTTCTTGTCATTTTGTTTATTAATGTATCAATATCAGGATAAGAATCCAGGTTTAGAAGGATTTGAAATAAGGATTCTGTTATTTTTTTCTTGAAACTATATTTCAGGAACTTTCTCAAAACATCAGGAATACAGCTCCAAATTTTTGCGCCCATAGAGGAAAAAGAGTTCTTGTAGTGATTTAGTCAAGAGTAGTTTATATAGAAGTTACCAGCGGTAGAAGATCGTGTGTTGTAATGATGAGCATCTTTAATGGGTCTAAAGAGAGCAGAAATGTTAGATGGCATGACTTTGTTATAGACATCATGTGTTAAGATAGAGCAATTTTAAAAAGTAGATTAAAGGTAAAGGCAGAATATTGGTAGAGATAAAAAGTGGAACAGCATGAACATTAAACTTAGAAAAATTCATCAAGCGGACTACCCGTTTTTGAAGGAGTATCTTGTCTAGGTACGTTTTGGCTGCCTGTCCCCAGGCAGTAAGGCCATAGGAGATATATGGAAAAATAAGAGATCTATATATATATTAAGCAAAGTTATGAAGGGAGTGAAATTCCTTAATCTAGATATTATACCTACATGACTACTGATGTTGGACGTGATGTGGCTGATATATTTCCAACTAAGATTACTATCCATTAGTACCCCTAAGTACTTAACATATGATTTACGTTCTATATTTATCAGTCTATTACTTTGGTTGTCCTATATATCAAGTTTAACTTCATAATCTAAGCGTTTTTGGTATGGATGAAAGGTAACAAAATTAGTTTTCTTTATATTTAAGGAGAGTTTATTAATGCCTAGCCAGTCACAGACATTAAGGAGCTCCACATTTGCAACAGATTTGAGTGATTTTAAATTCTTATCAGCCTATAGCAGATTTGTATCATCAGCAAATAGGTAGAATCGTAGTTTGTTTGAAGCCTTATGTCATTAATATAAATCAGAAACAATAAAGGACCCAAAACAGAACCCTGTGGCACTCCACAAGAGGTTTTCTCTTTTTAAGAAATATAGGCACTGACCTGAGTGGTTTGGGTTCTTCCATTTAAGTATGAACAGAATCAATCATTGATTATATCACAAATTCCATAATGAGCCAGCTTACATAATAAAATGTAACATCCAATTAGAAACAATGTGCTTGTGAGCTATCATATTTAATTCTTTTGGGACAGGGGTTGTGGTCCCCAAAGATAGAGGGTGCTGTACTTCTAGGGCAGCAATTTCCTTTTGGAATAGTTAGTGCTGCAAGTCTACCTTTGGCTCTATGTGCTTTGAACTACGCTGGCAGTTTCTAGGTTTGGTAATGGGGTCTTCATACCTTGGCAAGCATTAGGTCCTACTATTCACCACCTTTGAAAATCTAATGTGATTGGGTGCTTATTTACTTTAGGAATACTAATCCTTACGACAGGAAGAATAGCTCAAGGAAATGCCCCCAGCAGTGGCCTCTAGTCATCATTTGCCTACAACTCCAGATCTTTAAACCATCCCAGTAACATCTCTTGAATATAGACCAGTGATACAAAAATAAGCTTTATTCCTTTTCAGTCTTTGTTATTTCACCCAACCTTTAACTTAGTTCAATTTATACAATCATTGCTGTTAATTTGTACTTGAAGTAAAGATCCTTGAAAGAGTCAAAGGACAGAGGCAACTGTCCAATGATATCACTGGCCCCTGATACAAAGATAACCTTAAGCAAACAACTTTCAAGTATGCAAATGTAATAATATCATGTCATGAAAAAAAAAAAAAAAACCATCAAAATTTTTTGGACACAAGTGATCCTGACCCATGATTTAATTACAATGGTTGTGAAAAAAATATATATTTATATTACTTTGACAACTCCTTGAGGTGCATAAATTTCTTTGTACAGCCATTGGTGACTATAATGTCAAATTCTGTTGAACTGAATTTTACAATGCCTGACCAGCAGGCATAAGTGGTCAAGAAATCCTGTATGTAAACTTTTATCCTATTCAATTCAATGCAACAAGCGATGTGTAAGCACAAGAAAAATAAGTAAAATAAGTTTTACAATAAGGGTTTTTTTTACTACAATACTTTTCAGCCTTACAGTATCCAAAAGGCATACCCATGAATTCCTTTATACAAAGTGCTGCCCAACTTAACTCCTCATGCAAATTTCGTACAAAAGGCAAAATGTTTTGTTTGCAGCCACAACACCAATGACAAAAGAACAAACAAGCAACACTGTAAGACTAATGAATAAGATACACAGCGACAATGATGCTTACACTTTCCAGAAACTGGAGACACCCCTTTCAAATTGAAAACAAAAAATTCACATAAAAAATGACAATTGCACTGTCTGCCACAGTAATAAAGCAGTCACCAGTGCAAAAATCAAACAATTACTCATGAACATCAAAGTCCAAGACAAGAAGTTTGGTTTCTTCAGTTCCATTTCTGCTTCCAACAGCACAAACCAACTTCTTCTCATCACATTTCACTCTCCACACAACACCACCACTGCCACCACTGTCTAATTTCACTAGATCCCTGATATACTCCCCTGTGTGCAAGTCCCAAATTTTAACTGTGCCATCATCAGAACTAGTGATGACAAAACGGCTGTTAAACTGAAGGCAAGTGACAGCACTCTGGTGTTTACTTGGGCCTGCCAAGGTCTGCAGGCACTGTCCAGAGGCAATATCCCAGATCTTGACAGTAGAATCAGCATTTCCTGACACCAGTGTGTTGTTTTTCAACTCCATGCCACTCGTTAAAGACTGGTGACCAATCAAGGTATGCAGGCACTGTCCAGTTTCTACATGCCACACTCGTATTGAAGTATCTAATGAGCCACTCACAATGTAAACACCATCAAACTGTAGAGAATACACCCTGTTGGTGTGTCCTTGCAAAGTGTGTATACACTGCTCTGTTTCAGGATCCCAAACTTTTACGAAGAAGTCATATGCTCCACTGACCACACGTCTGCCATCATACTTCACACTAGTAAAAAGAATAATCTAAGAATTATGGTGGGTATATGTTAAGTTAAAATCTATTACTCTGCTTGCAGATGACAGATAACTCCTTCATTTAACATATATCAAAAGTAGTATTTGCAAATGAAAGCTTCTCAGAGCATTAAAATCTACAATTAAAATGTTTTAAAACAAAACAAGTGTCTGAAATGGGCAGAAAATTAACACAATGCAAGTGATGTTCAAAAGGTTACATCCTAGTTTTAGACTATGAAAAGAAAATCTCAGAAAATCTCAGAATGTCTTAGATTTGACCCAATGGTAAAACTAAGGCACTACAAACTGTTAAACATTTTAGGTAACTAGGAGCATTTCAACTGACATACAATCAGTTAATTTTCACTAGATTTGGGTTCTGGTTAAAATCTTGTGTGCCCAAGAAGTAAGGAGGTCCTCTTGTTTGATTGTTTGGGTTTTGATGGTACATGTAGATTTCTGTTTATTTAATGAGTAAGTTCTGATGTGACAGAGTAATCACTTTGTACTCTGCATGGGCTGTGCAAGGACCTGCATGATTCCTTCTTCTATCCAACTCTCTTGTTGACACTTAACTGGAAAAAAAACATTACCAGTATGTTTATAATTTTGTTCCACAAGTCTGTGTACAGATGTTTTCACTCACCATCTCACTGCAGCAAGGTGCCCAACCAACACATGGAGGCAGTTTCCAGATGAGGTATCCCATACTCTTAAAGTACCATCCCTAGAACCACTAACAACAGTGTTGTCATGCATGTCCATACAGCGAACAGTAGATGAGTGTCCATAAAGTGTGTGCATGCAGTAACCAGTGTCTGCATTCCAGACTTTCAGGGTACGATCAGTAGAGCCACTGACAATGATGTTACCACTCAACTGAGAAGACCACACACCTCCAGTATGACCTACAAGAGTGCGTAGACACTTTCCAGATACCGCAGACCATACTTTGAGAGTTCCATCATCAGAACCACTAACAATTCTGCTGCCGCAAAACTGAAGACAGGTGATGACATGGTCATCATGTCCTTTGAGGACTTTAGATGGACGCAATGGGCCCATTCTCCAGTTCCAATACACACGCTGCTTTGTCATGTAAAGTTTCTTGAAAGGGCTGTTTGCAGCTTTGGTGTTTTGGTTTACCTGCTGTGAATTATTGGATCTACGCCTACTACATTTCACAGGAGTAACTGGTTCTTCTTCAATATTAGCTTGCTTACACTTCTGCTTCCATAGCCTACAAAAAAGACAGGGAATCACATCAGGGGGTAAATTCTAATACATATCATAGCGTTCAAGGCAACAGAATGAGCTTTCTAGTGAACAATACTACCATTCCCAAAAGTGATCCACATTTAGATGGAAAATGAAAACTGATTTTGCTTTGGAGCTTTGCCAATTTCAGACCATTTTTTTGCCTGGTAAATACTATTTTTAAGTGTAATGTAGATATGCCTTGAAGTATTGTGCAACAGAAGATTTAGTTTTTAATCTGACAACTTTCAGAACTTTGAACATGGCAATTCAATATTTTCTGGCCACAAAGTCAAATAAACAACAACTCAACCATTGTGTATCTATTGTGCGTGTTGCACATCTGCAAAGAAATTTAACTTTGCTTATAAATAGCAATTTGGTATTTATTTGAATAAAGCTTTTATCTCAAAATCTTTCAACATCATTTTTACCTTGTCTTTTAGTAGGCAGTTCTTTGGCTAGATGATTGTGCAAATTAACTTGGAAACCTGATCGCCAAGTTTGCACTGCAATTTTTATCTAAAATTCTGATTTTGGGTGCATTTTGACTATACATGTAACTACATGTATGATTTCTTTAGTTTGGGAATAAGATTTTGAGCTGACTGAACTCCATTAAAACTTGTTTTCGCCAAAGCACTATTTGTTTTAGACTTACTATGTACTGGCTTTCTAAAAAACAGTTGGTTCACACATCAGCTGTGCATTCGTGGAGACATGAACCACTTGGCACCTTTCAAAAGCATTCAAGAAACTACAATTGCTCTTGGCTGCTCCTCAAGCATTTCCTAAGCTTTTCTCATGCTCTTCAAACTTCCCTTATGTTTTGTATCCCCATGAATGCACTCTCACATACAAGCCAATTGTTAATTTAACTTACTAATGTTTCAAGGTGTTCTTGACAAAAAAAAATTATCAATTGTCATTTCTTTTGTTTAGAATTACAACACTGAGAAACCAGTTGACTGAATGACAGATATTATTCTATCATTCTCTGGTGCTCTTCAAACTTCCTGCATGCTTTCTACCCCCATGAACACACTGACATATGAACCAATTTTTAATTTAACCAACTATTACTTCAAGGTGGACAAAAAAAAATATCTGTTGTCATTTGCTGTTTAAAGGAAACCAGCTGATTGAATGATAGATATCTCTTTGCTTGGAAAAGCATGCTGACATTTATTCGTCTGCTTGATTATTCTCTGACCCAAATTTTCAAGACTGAAAAAAATCTATTTTATGTATATAAATTATTACCCATGGGTACACTGTGCATCTTGGTGACCTTTATCCAATAATAACATTACCTATTCCTGAATTTATCAGGGTCAAGTCTTAACACAAAATTTTGGGAAAAATTGATGATACCAATGCATCAATGAAATGGAAACATGCAACACTTAATCATGAAACAAAAACAAACACAAGGCACAGATTTGTATTATCAATGGAAGAGGCCCAGCACTGCTGTTAAATCAAAGTTGGCTTGAATTATTTTGTCAACTTAACCTTGAACAGCAACTTGACCCTATGGTATGGCACTTCTCCACACTCTTAGCCCCCTTTTCTGTACAAATTTCTCAGAAAGAGCTGTAATTAGATCTCTTAACACCAACAACACTTGAATGTAGGAATAAATGAATTTATCACAAAGGATCTCTCTATTACATTGTACTTACAGGTTGTCATCACAAAGTGTTTGCCAACACTTGCAGGTCTGAGCAGCTCGTAACAAGTCACTGGGTTCTAAAAATGACAGAACATATAATGCTAGTTCTCTAGGCAAAAGAGAGATGAAGTCCCGTTGAAATCTTGGTTCAATGGTACCCATAATGTGTCTCACAACTGTTGGCTCACAATTTTCAATTATCTCATCAAGAGCATATTTCCTCTCCTCGGCTGTCCATTGCAGAAATGTTTGCAGCCACTCTTCCAGACCTGCTGGTGGATGGCTGCAAAATGACATGTGCCGACAACGGGTGTCTACTGGACTCATCACAGGTGTGGCTGTCTTGATGGTACCATAATTTCTGAGGGGGAGGAGCTTTAAAAGCCTCTTTTGGGCTGGGGAACAGAACTTCTTCTCCGGGGATGATTTCTCACACTCATCATTTTCTGGATCATGACTACTGCTCGAAAGTTTTCGTTTTATTGATTCCCTTTTTCCCTTAGGTGTGCCATGTCCTTTGTTTGCAGCAGTTGGAGAAGACCTTCTGTTCAACGACTGCCTTCCAGTTTTAGCTTTGGCAGAGCCTCTTGTCTCTCTCCTGTTAAGATTGGGCAAGGGAGAACAACAAAAGGCATCTTTGTGTTGCTCAATAAAACAATGTCCTACACCCGGGATGACATGCAAGTCTTCGATGCTTGAAAATCCGCCTAGGGCAGTTCGAACATCCACGATGCTCTTTGCTATTGTTCTTCCGACTCCATTTAATCCCTCCAATTCCTCTGTCGTCGCGCGATTTATATCCAAGATACGCCTTGGGCCAGCCATTGACGTTCCTATATAATCCAAAGAGGAAAAGGGGTTTCAGATGTTTGGTATATTTTGGTCAAATACAAACTACGGTTCTTAAGTAAGGCGCATATTGCCCAATGCACAGTTTCCCATTCTCACGAAACCATATCCTCGCCCTGTATTTCTCCCGATTTTAATAAGTACATGCAATACAATACACAGAACTGCTCTTGGATTTCAGTCAAAACAAAGGAACGTAGAGAAACTGCCATCAAACAATAATTTATTGAAAGCGTGACCGCAACCGAAGAAAACTTGGGATGCTACGCCTGGCGAGCTTAACATACAGAAGGCAAGCCGCACTTTATGGTACCTGTTAAGTTTCCGTAAATATGTACGCTTTTTACCGTTTCGTAAATAGGAAAATACTTTTTGTTACCATTTTGGGGACAAGTTTCCATATTCTCTGATGTAAACTCGAGATATAATAAAAAAACATCGGCATATTCCGCCTAAGTCAACAAAAACATCGCCATAGAAAAGCTTCTTGACACGTTTAATAACACGTTTCGCGCTTTCAATACCTGTCGCGGTAGATTAGAAAACTTTCTGGCAATCATCTCAGTCTTTCACTGAAAGTTTCCTTGGAGAAATTTACTGAACGAAGAGTTTTTCAAACGAACTCTATGGTAAAACGAGAGGGAACTCAGGTGCACTTACTCGACCGATCAATCACGCACGAACCTAAACAACGAAGTGGGATACGAAAGAGTAAAAAACGAAATTCTCACCTTTAAAATAGCTCTATGTCCTGTCACAACCATCAAACAATTTTAAAAGCTATGAATCGTAAAACATGCTCTATCGATGGTACACTGCTTCTCTCCTTCCTAGAAGGCAAGAAGTAAACGAGACACGATTCAAACCGTTGCTCGCAAAGAACAAAGATGGCGCGTTTCACGTAAGTCGCACGAGGATCTTGGCCTTAAACGTCACACCCTGCGTGGACTGCGCTACACTTCCAAATATGGAGAGCAGTATTCCACCAAGCTATCAAGAAGGAACAATAACTATTATATCAACTGGGCCCCTTAAATGTATGGACTTTTTCCTTATGAGGTACTTTTCGAAGAACGCCTTGTCGAAACGTTGTTTGAAGTTGTATCGGCAATATTTGTTTCCACGATGGCAAATGCGGCAGGGAAAAATGATAATTTCAGAAGAACATGGGACAGAGATGAGTACGAAAAGAAAGCTAAAGAGCGAGAACAAGAATTAGAAGACGAAGAAGATGAATTGAGTTCAAAGGAGCGGCCATCCGTTCCAGTGAAAAGGGAACTTTTGAAAAGGAGAGATTATGATGTCGACCTCGAAGCAAACCTTGGGAAATCGGTGGTTATAACCAAGACGACACCTCTTTCTCATACTGGAGGGTATTACTGCAATGTTTGTGACTGTGTAGTAAAAGATTCAGTAAACTTTTTGGATCATATAAATGGCAAAAAACATCAGCGAAATTTGGGTATGTCTATGAAAGTAGAGAGGTCATCGCTAGATCAGGTGAAGCGACGGTTCGAGGCGAACAAGAGGAAAAGAGAAGAAGAAAAGCAGAAGAAAGATAAAGAATATGACTTGGAAGAGAGGATGGCTGTTTTGCGGGAAGAGGTAAATTGAAGGAAAATGAATCCGATTTCTGCTGAAATTGTCAGTGAGATCTGAAGTAATATGTGTAGGTAATAACCTGATTTCGAGTGCAATTTGGTGTTAATAGGCACGAGTAATTTTTTAAAGACAATAGAATTTGGGCTCCTGTGATTGGTAGTCTCTGAAAAATCTACAAGTGCTTATTAAACCTAATTTCATGAGAAATCATGTTGTTATTTGTTAACACATTAGGACTTCAACATGGACAAAGTGTGTAATTCATTAGGTATTCCGGTTTTAATCGACACATGTGCAACAAGGCGCTAGAATTACCAAGAGATACTGGACACTCTTTAGTATCCTAGCGACCGATTGCAGATTCATCAAAATTAGTTGAATGGTGTTCTCGATTGCAAACCTGTTGTGATCGCTTAAGCAAAAGGCACAGTTGACCAAAAATGAGATATTGCTCTCAAAAACTGTTGGCTTCAAAGCTGAAGCAATCGATGAAGAAGGAGTTTGGTGTGCGTGCACTGTTAAAGAAGTGAACGATAATTTCGCGATCGTGTCCTTTGATGGCTGGAATGTGGAGTGGAATCGCCATGTCTTTGATTCACGAGAGATCAGGGATTGAATATTCAGTTCATTTCTTTACATTCAGCTACAAGAACAAAATGGAATTGTGCTCTAAATCAAAACAAATGGTACAAGATATCGAAATAAAAAGACCAGTAAATAAGCGCCCCTTACCTACATAAAATTCCTTTCAGTGAACAATGTCTTCGCTTTAGGAAGACCGACTTTTACTTCTAAATATCACCAAAGCTTTTGTAAACAAAAAGCTCAAATTATGGTTTGCTTTCATTTCAGGCGTGAATTTGCATAATCTTTCATGGACGAAATCTATATGAGTTTCAAAGATCAAAACCATTTAATAAATTGCTCATTGAACTGTAACACGCTTCCACTTAGCAAACACAGCTTTCCAGATTTAACATAGTTCGCTTCAAATTTCTCAATCTATCCTAAGTTTCTCCGACTGCATCCAAACAGGTTTTACTATGCATCTTCCATCAAAGACTCCCAGTGAAACGTGACATAAAATACATCACACATTACTAGGTAACAGAGCTCATACATATGCATGAACCCCGCTTGAGTGGGGTTCACAGAATTACACACTTTGTCCGTGCTGAAGTTATATGTACATGAAAAAAAGCATTGCAGTAAGTTGAGTGAGATAAAAGTTTGACAGCGTGCATGCTATTTGTAATTTGCACTTGTGATACAACTTTGAACTGGTGTTACAACTTTGTGCTCATATTTGATGAAAAATGCACTTGTTTTCGGCCAATCAGACACGCATAATTTGTTCATTTATATTATGAAACAACGAGCGGGAGTTAGGGAAGATAAAAAAAGTCTTAGCTGCTAGAATTATTCCAGTTAAAACCCAGGCTGTTCCAGTTTGGATGTTGGATAATTAATGTTGAAAGGTTCTTGTGTATGGATAAAGTAAAAGATCTTACCATTGATATCTGTGGTATAGTTGCTTTGATATTGGTGTGGGTTATAGAAAAATTCTTAAGTCAATTGTTAGGATTTTCCCATATTGTGTCTTTTGTTTATTCTCTCATATCTCTCTTTTTTTCAAATTTTCAAAACGTTGTACAATTTTCTGTATACAGGTTACTTGTCACACACATGTATGTACCTAGTATCAGGCTTAACACACAATGGTGTTTTCTGTTGCTCAGTTAAGGCTGTTTTCTTTTTCCAATGGAGTTAGAGTTGGAGCTGGAGATCTATTCAGTGGTGCAGAGGGAAAGACTTATGAAAATCAAACTGACAAAATCAGAGGAAAAAATTTTGATGCTGCTTACAAGTCATCACCTACAATTCAGTGAAAACTGGATTGTCAGTGTCTTAAGCTATTGGAATATATCAACAAAGTTGAAATGGTAAATTGGCCACCGTTGCGATTATAAAAGCTAACGTTTCGAGCGTTAGCTCTTCGTTGGAGCGAATAGGGGAATTGTGGGTTGTGTGTGCTTTTAAAGGCAGGAAAAGGAGCTGTGTGATTGGTGGGAACACGGCAAGCTATTGGATGGCCTGAGAAATGGCATTGTGATTGGCTACAAGTTTCTCTGGAATCTGCTTGTAACTTCAAGAATCTAGTTTTTACTTAAACATAAGAGACTAAGTTGTGAGAGGAATGAAACAGTACTGATTCCTCCATCTTTGATTCTGTTGAGCTTATGATTCTTCTTATGACTCTAATTTTTTATTTTCACTCGGTTGTACGCCCTTTTACAAATCCAACTATGACTCAAACTCTGTTACCAGTAAAAATCACCCTGAAGTGGTACATCCATTTGTGAAATGACAAGGTGTCAAATTGAATCCTGGCTGAGGTCTCACATGTTTCCCTTTCCCACAACTTGGAAAATATACATGAAGTTACTCTTGTTTTTTTATGGTATCAAATTTGACATTTTTTCCCCCCAGGAAGAACTTCGGAAACAGCAGAGAAAGGTTGCTCGCAAAGAAAAGAAGCAAAAGACGGGAACAGTGGATGATGGAGAAATTGATCCTGATTTGGCAGCCACCATGGGTTTTGCTGGGTTTGGGTCGAGCAAGAAATAATGCTATTAACTTTGTGACAGTTTTATTAAGTTAAATTTTATTCAGTAGAATAGTGAGTGAAAGAAGCCAGTATAGATAATGAGGATTTTCAAGACTCCTTCCTACTGTACAAGATGGTCCTAATCCAAACAAAATGAAATGTTGATTTGACTCACTTAACATTTATTTGCAAAGAAACCAAAGACAGTGGGCACTGCATGTCATTTGATTGTTTTTTCTTTTTTTTTTTTTATAACATATAGTTGCCAGAAAATAAGTAATTTTTCTTGTTTCCTTGAAGCAATTATTTTATCAACTTGCTCACACCTGAAAATTGAATGATAACCAGGTCAATGAGGGTCTTGCCTTTTACAATTAGGCAATTAGGTTTATAATGTCAGAACTGAATGTTTCAAGAGGACTTTTGTTAATAGATGTTTGTTCTCTTATTAGTTAGTCAGTTAGTAATTTAGTTAGTTAATTAGTTTTATACTTGCTGAGTTCATATCATTGTAACTAAACATGTTTGTTGTTTAGAGTGCATAATAAAGACTTTATTATTAATGTTCCCTTAGCTGTGAAAGTTACATTTGAATTATTCTTTATTGGAAAACCACATAATTTTCCATGTTGTTACTCTACTTGTTTAGTCTATATGATATATGCCAGCTTTTCCAGTCTATGAATCTGTCTTTGTGCTTTGCATCATGGTGTGCTTCACCTGATATACATACGGTATTATTGTAAGTAGTTTCCTTATATTCAGTTTCATCAGAATTAATACTTAGACTAGGTTTACACTAGAGGAGAGTTTTCCGGATTCGTAAATGTTTCCGGATTCATCAATTTTGGAGTATTCGGATTCGTAGGCGTTTACACTGAAAGGATATTCGGATTCCTGACCGTTTACACGCAACGACAACTCCGGGAACATTCGAAATGGAATGGTTACCAAGCCCAGTGTTGTTTCGTCGTTCGATCGACAAAGTGAAAATGCCTCCCCCAAAAAAGGCTAGAGTAGATCCAGATGCCACTGAGGCAAATTTGAGTTGGACAGATGCCAAGCAGTCTACGTCGTCGGCGATTAAGTGTGGCTGACGTTAAACTTCCTTGCAATAATAATTTGCGTTTCTTCAGAAATACTGCGGTACACATGATAAAATTTATCGCCTGAACCTGCAACAAGATTAGGCAACCGGAGACCGCCAGCAATGTTAGCACCAGATCCATTTTGGTTTCACCGCAAACTCAAAAGATTGCAGGTGGAAATAATATCCGGATTCGAGAAAAAAAGCGGTTACACGACAAAACTTTCCGGATTCAAAAGTTATCGGATTCAAAGTTCCCACTTTAAATTCCGGAGTCAAAATCTCCGGAGACACGGCCAAACCGGGAAGTTTTTATTTCGGATTCGTCCACTTTCGTGTAAACGGCAGAACGAATCCGGTACTAAAACGTTTCGGATTCATCATGAATCCGGAACAATTTCCTCTAGTGTAAACCTAGTCTCAAAATGATAGGGGGATTTCTCTTTTCTTACTCCTTCTGCCAATGTGAAACTCTTGAGCCATAATAATTTTTTTGTATAAATAGTTGACATGATTATATTCCTGCTGTTACAGATATAATCAACTGAACTGATAGAAATTAAATCATTTTTATAACAGAGAAACAGTTTTTTTTTTTTGTGTGGGGTGGGGGTGGGTTCCTGCTATATGCTTTTGGGGACAAACCCTTGTGCTTTGTTTTTTTTTTTTTTTCTCTCTATCATAGGGAGCTAGTGGGTCCAACTGCTTTTCTTTGCTTTGGCAGATTTATTTTGTTTTACTTAGTTACCAAATGTTTCCCAGTATGTGGGTACTGAACTTACAGTCACCTGTTCCACTGAGAACAGAAAACTTGATAAGTAGATGACAGAAATATTAATCTTCCACTGACTGGCTTTGATGATTTAGTCATAAAGATTGCAACACTGATTAAAGTAAAGCCCAGAAGTAAGAAATAAATGCAATTGTTCACCTGACAAGTGGTTTAAGACTTAGAGCTGCTACAGCTCTTAAGCAATTATTCAGTATAGTTGAAGTGATTACATATTCTTTCTGATCAACATCGATTGGTTTAACAGACGAAATTCACTGAACTTAATGAAAGTGATTTTCCTTTAGAGGAGCTAAGAGGGCTGCCGCATGCAATATTTTGATTTTGTGCTGAAGCTGAGCAATGGCAGTAGGTTGGGCCATTTGACTGTTAGTACTGGAAACATGAAAGAAAAACAGCACTGACTCATTGCGGCGGTCATTCTTGACATTTGTTCTATTACGTCCAAGAGATAATCCGGCAAGATTTCCATATGACCCCATACAGTAATTATGCAGAGTGTTGCAAAGAAAACTTTATATTTAGTCTATGAGATGGAATGCATAATTAATGTATGGGGTTGTATGAAAATCTTTCCTTCGTTTTGAATTCATCTAACAACTTGGTAGTCTCCCTTGCAGCCCTTTCCGGTGTCCGCAAGCGAAAACTCTCCCACCAACGCCGTTGGTGGGGAAGTTTAAAGGGCTGGAAGGGAGACTAACAACTTGGGCGATACTTTATTTGTTGGCCTTGTCTTCGGATTGTGCTTGGGGCCTTGTGTCACTCATCAATTCGAGTCTCATTTTGGTTAAAAAATTAATTTTACATGTCCACTTTTAAATAGCCAATGATCAACTTCTTACTAGCGTTTAATGAGTTGAGTTTTACAAAGTCAATTTTCATATTCTCCGTCTTGATTTGCGTTATATAAACTATGATTGTTACACCACATGCGGCTTATCCTGGTATTCTGTTATTCTTTTCCAGTCTCCTTCCGTTTCAAAATGGCGAACAGATTTCACGTGTTTAGGGTTTGAAAGCATTGGAGGTCTCTGACGGAATAGCAGAAATGTCTGTGGATGCAAGATTGCCAAAGAAAGGGAAAAGAATCCCGGCCTCAGCTGGATCCGAGCCAAGGCACATTGTATCACCGGGAGATGTCATAACTGAAGACACAGGATACATGAGGTTGGTTTGAAATCTTTTTTTGAAACTGGTCTGTGATGGAAAGAAAGCGTAATGAGCACAGGCTGTCGACATGATAGATAGAGGTTAAAGGCGTATGAAAAAATACCTACAACTTTCCTCAAAAGTAGTCGACAAAGTATATTTAACTCTCGAAGGGTTAAAAACCACAACAGGCAAAATAACTGCAACAACAATGTCTGGGGTGAAGTTACAGGGAAGGGTTCCGAATAGACCCTTCCATTTAGCTGTTCCGCGCTGAATCTCGTTGTAACTTTAACAGCTCGAGTATGGTACGAGTGAGATCTAGTTCAAGCTGTAAGTTGTGGTTTCGGAGATCTGCGATCGTTCTGCCTTGTTCTACTGCCGGCTGCTCGACTTTGCGATTCGTCGGGGAAAGATCTTGGATCATCGACTCAACCTGACTTAGTTCGCGTTTGACTGCTTCGCTTATTTGCAGAGATGTTGCTGGATCTGCCAGTAAGTCGTCCATTTCGTAATCTGTAAATTTTATCGGAGGCTTAGTTTTCCTGCTGCTCTTTCTAGTTCCCATGGTGCAGATATAAATAACACATACTATTCTAAAGAGAGGTGAACGAAGCTAGGTTGTGTTAAAGCACATGTCAGACAAGCTGTGTACAGCGCATGTCAGCAAACTTGCCCCAGGTCTCGCTGGAGTTAAATACAAATAATAGCTATTATTTTTGACTTGGACAGTGCACTTAATGCGTCGAATAACTTAACTATTGTTGCAATAATTCCCTCTCTCCTCTTTCAATTCAATGTCACTTTTTTTTGCTGAGGATCACTGGTAACAGGTCATAGCTATGGGGAGTGTTGTATTTTTAAGGATATCTTCACTAAGAAAACAACGACAACTGCATGGTGTGTTCTATCACCTTTATTTTCCAATGCATCATGGGTATGATGACATATGAATACATCACAGTGAGGGAGGAGGATAGGCTTAGCCACAAGTTGCTCGGCAACTTTTTGGCAACTTTTTAGAATTTTGGCAACTTTTAGAATTTTCGGCCACTTTGGGCTTTTTGAGGTTCTTTGAAGCCACTTTCTTCACATTTTGAGCCACATTGGTCAGTTTTCGATAGACATTTATTCAATTTATTCTAAAATACAATAATTAGGGGCCCCCCCATGGGTTGAGTTTTGTGATGCCTTATCACGAGGTCAGCGGTATCACGTTGAACATTTTTCAAGATGGCGGACAATTACAGTGACTATTTGTTGATCAAGTGAAATGGAAAGAACCTCTGATATTATCACTGGACTTTGACAAATAAAGTTTTGATAAGGAGCAATGTGTGAATTTTTAATCTTTAACCCAAAAAAGGTATGAAAAGCAGAAAAATTTTGCCAACTTTTCGGCAACTTTTTGGAAATTCAGCAACTTTTTGAAAAAAATAGCAACTTTTTGGCAACTTTTAGACACTTTTATCGGCAACTTTTTGGGATTCATTGGGAACTTGTGGCTAGGCCTAGAGGAGGAGGTGTAAAGATTAAGGTAGCAAAGTGAAAAGGGATAAAAGCGATGCATCAGAGGGGTGAAAATGTAGTGGGTTAACAACAAAAGCTTGCCTCAACTGCCAAAGCTTTGAAAAAGAAAGTTATAAACAATTTACTTAGTAAACAAATTAGTGATATGAATTTTTTATAATATGGATGATGATATTTTAGCATGGTTGTATTATTATTAATTTTTAGTATATAATATAAATATGTATTTTTCTTTTTAATAGGTTTTTAAATTATATACATCAAATTATTATTACTTTCATTTATGTTAATTTTATGTATTGATTAGATTACTTTATAGAGGGCCACAGGGTCATCAGTTGTACTTAAACTGTTACGTGCTACCCTCTTAAAATAAAGTCATTATCTTATCTAACAGTTAAAACTGTAGAGTACGGGGTCACTTAATTACGTATACAACTTATTCTTCATAGGCTGCTGAAAAGATGGATATCAGTTGTTCTGTAGTCTTAATCCTTAAACCCCTTAGAGTGACCAGCATCTAATTTCTCCTTACAGTATCACCCCTGAATCAAACATTATGGTTACGAGAATAATGAAAATGATCAACAACTACAGAAACTCAACTACAAATTCTCCTTGTTGGTTATATTAGGAAGTGTATAGAGAACAAACTGATCTTAGGGTGTAAATGGATAAGTTGTTCCTCAACACTTTTGTGGTTGTAAATGGTGATGTATCATGGCAGTATTTTGAATAAGGATAGAGCAGTTGAGTGTGAGGAAGAGACATGTGTTAACTGTCATTTCAATGGCTATGTTCATTCAAATAAAATCATGTGTTTATTATGTAAAGGATACATAAAAGGAAACATCAGAGGTTATCTCTATGAGGATGCTCCCCATGTAAAATACAACATGAATTGTCATACAATTGAAAATTTAAGATT